GTCAATGAGCTGAGGTCACTAAAGAAAAGAAATAAGGTGGCCCGTGAGATGGCTCGGCAGGTTAAGATACTGTTGCCAAACCTAATGGTCAGAGTTCAATCCCTGGGAACAACATTCTGGAAGGAGAGAGGCTGCCCTTTGACCTTTTGGGTGCCATGGAATACATGCATGTATACACACATATACATAAATACAGTAGAATAGTGAATAAATAAATAAAAGCAAGCCAGAACCCAAAGGTTGTATGCTTATGGAACATAGAATTGTATCTTTTGTTATTTTGGTTTGGGCCTGGGATTAAACCCAGAGCCTCATATATGTAAGCACATGCTCTACCACTGAGCTATACATCCAGCCCTAAATGTGTGTTTGTTTTTTAAATTACATATATGGGTATGTGCACATGCCGAGGCCAAAGGTGCAGGATCCCCCTGAAGCTGGATTTAATGGGCAGTTGTAAGCCACACAATTTAGATTCTGGGAATCAAACTCAGGTCCTCTGGAAGAGCAGGGCAAGGTCTCAACCACTGAGGCATCTCTCCAGCACCATTAAATGTGTGTATCTTTGGATAGCTGGGTCTCTTTCTGCAAACTTATCCTAAAGAAACAGGCGGACTGGGGGGGAGGGGGAGTGTGAATGACGGAGTTGGCTTAACTTTCAGTCACTGTAAATCACTGTAACAATTACCTGAGCCAATCAAGTTAAGAACAGGTTTATTTCTATTGAGAGTTTGGGAGGTTTCCTTTCGGAATTGATGATATTGGCTGTAGAAAACCAGAGAACACAGCATGGTAGGTGGGCATGGCAACAAAACAAACTGCTTACCTCAAAAGAAAAAGGAAATGTGGAAGGCCGGGCATTTAAATACTTCCTTCCAGGGCCTGCAGACCTACCCCAGGCTGTACCCTTGAAGTGTCCACCAACTTCTAAGAGCACCACTATGATCAGGCAGTGGTGGCGCACACCTTTAATCCCAGCACATGGGAGGCAGAGGCAGGCAGATCTCTGTGAGTTCGAGGCCAGCCTGGTCTACAGAGTGAGTTCCAGGACAGGCTCCAAAGCTACACAGAGAAACCCTGTCTTGAAAACAAAACAAAACAAGAGCACCACTATGGGTGCTCTTCATTTATTCATCCATTCATCATTTATTCCATTTATTCTACATGAGATAGATCTCATGTAGCCCAGGCTGTCTTCCAACATGTATAGCCGATGATGACCATGCACTTCTGGCCTCCCTGCTGTAAACCTTCTGAGTGCTGAAATTATGGGGTGCACCACCACACCCATTTTTATGTAGTTCTGGGGATCTGAAAATCGAACCTCCCAGAGCTTCTTGCATTTCCTTGCAAACACTCTACCAACTGAGCTACATTATGGCCTCCGTAGGCCTCTATCTGCACACACCTGTCATACAAGTGAATCTTTAAAAAAAAGAAATTGGTGAGTTAAAAAAAACACACACTCCTTTTGCTGTTGTGCCTCCAATTACATAAGTTAGCCCACCACAGTGAGACATGTGCTTAGTTACATACAATGGGAAAGCGTTAAATTCGTGTGTACTGGAGAAAGCAGTGTACACAAACTTTGGTACTGGCCAGTTTCAAACAGCCATTGCGAGGGTCTTACAACCTATCCCCCTTGGGTAGGGAGGGATTACTCTGGGACCTCGGGAGGCTGTGGTGGGAGGGTTTGTGGAGCTGAGAAGTTTAAGATGAGCCTGAGCAGCACTGTGAGACTCTGAAACAAAACCAAACTCCACCAATCTTGCTTCTCTAAGGCACCTGTGTGAAAACCTGCAGCTCTAGTCCTTTGTCCTGGGCACTCACTCTTCTAGCTTTCTGTCTCTGCTCTCTGTCCCTCCAACTGCTCCTTAAGAAGGGCCTCCAGCAAATGAGATGGCTCAGCTGGTAGAGGTGAGGATCCCACATGGTGGGAAGAGAGAAATGATGCCATTGGTGGCAGCCTTGGATCTCCATATACCCTCCTGTGGCCAACCCCTCACCCCGAAATAAATAAAGTAAAATGGGGGCAGCTTCTGTTTTAGTCACTCCTGTGCCTCAGTAGCCCTGGCTTCAAATTCAATGCCTGGCATGTTAAATGTCCTCTAATTTAGGGGGACCTTAGAAAGGCTCACAGAATGTGTACAGAAATGTCTCTTGAGGAGGGGGGAAAATGGGTGATGACATTTCTCTCTGTCCTTGACACCTGTAACAGGGAAGGCAGAATTTTTTTTTTTTTTTTTTTCCCAGAGGACCAGACTCTGCCAGGTGATCTGTAACTAAGCATTATCCATCACAGGGCTTAACTATGGAGTGATATTAGTTATTAGTAATATAGGATGAGCACATGTGTGGAGGAAAAGGGGAAGGGAAAGGCAGTGGAATAACTGGTGTATCTTTTTTTTTTTTCTTCTGAAAACAATGAAGTAACTGGACTAAGGTATTCTGATCAAGAACATGGTTGGGAAAGACTAAGACACTAGCCTGATGGTAGGTGGTCCTACAGGGTTTAAAAAACCAATGCCTGTAAAGAGGCTCTAAGTAATGAAAGGGAAGCTCTGCTAGCAATCTTTATGACACTTCAAAATATTTACCTATTTTGTGTCTGTGTAGGGGGGACAGTCACAGAGATGCAGAGCATAAATGAGAATGATGTGTCACAGGGCAACTTGTAGGGGTCGGTTTTCTACTTCCACCTTGTGGGATTTGGATATTAACTCAGGCTTGGTGGCAAGTGACATTAACTGCTAAGCTATCTCGCTGGCTTCCTATGTCCCTTTAAATACTTTGACCAGTAAGTTGTAGAAGTATTAATTTAAAAAAAAAAAAAAAGGTCTCGGATATTAGCCAAGGTTAGTCTCAAACTGATAGTAATCCTTCTGCCTCAACCTGACTGCTGCTGGGATTATAAGCATGAGAGATTGCGCTGGGAGCTGCCTACGAAATTTCAATGAACACACTATGATCATGTTTTGATACCTTTTTCGAAGTGTTAAATCCATCCCAAACCCGCCAAATGTTTTACTCATGAAATTGGTATCTGCACTGCTGGTGACCTGTGTTAACTACTAGGAAATCTAATTCCAGATAACTTGTACTTTTTACTAGGCATCAAGACCGTGTTTACATAGATTATCCCACTTAATCCATAAGGCCACTGAGCCAAGGAGAAACAGCATTATCTGCACTTGAAGATAAGCAAAAGGAGGGGCTGGGAAATGAACGCAGGAAGTCTGACTCCACCGAACAAAGAACCGCCCAGGCCGCAGTTGGGGAGATGAAAATGCAGTGATTTCTAGCTTCCAATGAGAAGAGGGACCCTGGGCGGGAGCAGAGCAAAAGCCTTACGAGCATCTGTGCCTTTTAGAGCTGCCCCCTCCCACTAGGGACGCTCCATCCACCTGCCCGCATCCCCGAGGACCACCTCGCACCCCTCACCTCTGCCAATGCTCACACAACCTCGCACTCAGTCCTCTCGGCGCCCAGAGTGGAGTGGGGTCTACTACTCGCTGACCACCCCGAACCAAGCCCATTCCATCACAGGGAAGTCACTTTCCAGACACTGACCCGACCCCGCCCAAATCGGGCACAACGGGGCGAGGCCGCCACGCCCCCTCCCATCGCCCGGGCACCGGCGCCATGAAGGTGACCTCCCCCTAGGGCTGCACGCGCCGGGTGGTGCTACAACGGGCTCACACGTGGTGAGCCCGGAGAGCGCGGCCCCTCCCCGCCACGCGCCGCCTGCAGCCCGCTCAGTCACGCCCCCAAGGAGGCTCCGCCCTGGGCAGGGCGAAGCGCACCACCCGCCCCGTGTGGCCTGGCAGCGCGAGCTGGGCGAGATCCAGGACGCGCCCGGGGTGCAAGAAACCCACGAGGTCGCTCGGCTCCCGGCTCAGGGTGGCCCTGCCCCTCGGTGCGCTAGGGAGCGCGCTGGGACCGCCCGACAGGCTCTAGTGGCACCGCGCGTCCTGCGGCTTGTCTTTGGAAAGCGGGCGTTCTAGTCCCTTGGGGGTGGATACCTTTAGCGCCCCAAAGGATTAAAAAAATAAAATAAAAAAACATCATTTGGCCCCAAAGCATTTGTTAAGCCTGTTTGTGGCTGGACCATGTGTGTAGCCGGGAGGGGTTCCATTCAAGACAAGGTGAATCTGTCCCCTAAAAACGCTTTTCTGAGTCTCGGTCCCCCGCATCAATGCTCCTCTGTGGCAGTCCATCGGTGTCCCAGAAAGAGACTAGGAAGGAGTCCTACCTGGCGGCAGGTGTCATTGAGTAATCTAAACGTGCAAAAGCAAGGCGGAGAAAAGAAAAGCTTTGAGGGCCAGATGGGAAGCGCTCCACGTCCCCCACCTTCACTCCAACCCCCATCCTAAGAAAAGAAACCGACCTCATCCGTCTCCCCCCCCACACCCCACCCCATCCCAGGAGCGAGACCGCCCCGCCCAGGCAGCCAGCGATTGGGAGATGCAAATGCCGAGTTCTCTGCCCAGCAACGGATGACGCGGCACCTAGCGCGAGGCGTGGCCCGGCCGCTGCCCGAGCGGGCACCTCGGTGTTTACACGGGGCGGCCCCGCGCGCGCCGCAGCGGCCCGCAGACGGCGAGGGGGAGGGGAGCGCGCGCGCCTTCGGGGCCGCGCGGGGAGAAAGGCACTGGAAGGCGGCGGCGGGCGGGCAAGCGCGCGCGGGGCCGCGGAGGAGCGCCAGGCCGCGACCGGAGCCCGCGGGGGCCTGCGAGGCTCCAGTCCTCGGCCCCGCAAAACAATGCGCGGCGCGCGGCGGAGCTCTCCAGGCCCGGGGCGGCGGGGACGCGCCGAGCCCGCCTGAGCCCGCGCCGCTGACCTTCCCCCCGCACAGACGGCCCGAGCGCCGGGCGCCGCGCTCCCAGCTCGCGGGGGCCGGGCCCAGCCGCGGGGCGGGGCCGCCCCTCCGTCGCCGCTGCCTCCTCCCCCCACCGCCGCCGCCGCGGAGGATGCGGACGGCCCCCGGCGGCGTCTAGCGGCCCGGGCCCGGCGCGATGGTGCAGCAGCGGGGCGCGCGGGCCAAGCGGGACGGCGGGCCGCCGCCCCCGGGGCCCGGGCCGGCCGCCGAGGGGGCGCGCGAGCCCGGCTGGTGCAAGACCCCGAGCGGCCACATCAAGCGGCCGATGAACGCGTTCATGGTGTGGTCGCAACACGAGCGGCGAAAGATCATGGACCAGTGGCCCGACATGCACAACGCTGAGATCTCCAAGCGCCTGGGCCGCCGCTGGCAGCTGCTTCAGGACTCGGAGAAGATCCCGTTCGTACGGGAGGCGGAGCGGCTGCGCCTCAAGCACATGGCGGACTACCCGGACTACAAGTACCGGCCTCGCAAGAAGAGCAAGGGGGCGCCCGCCAAGGCGCGGCCCCGCCCCCCCGGAGGCGGCGGTGGCGGCAGTCGGCTGAAACCCGGGCCGCAGCTGCCGGGCCGCGGGGGCCGCCGAGCGACGGGAGGGCCTCTGGGGGGCGGCGCGGCGGCGCCGGAGGACGACGACGAGGACGAAGAGGAGGAGCTGCTGGAAGTGCGCCTGCTGGAGACCCCCGGGCGCGAGCTGTGGAGGATGGTCCCGGCAGGGCGCGCCGCCCGCGGACCCGCGGAGCGCGCGCAGGGGCCATCCGGCGAGGGGGCGGCCGCCAGCGCCGCCTCCCCGACCCTGTCGGAGGACGAGGAGCCCGAGGAAGAGGAGGAGGAGGCTGTTACAGCAGAGGAGGGCGAAGAGGAGACGGTGGCGTCGGGGGAGGAGCCGCTGGGCTTTCTGTCCAGGATGCCCCCGGGCCCCGCCGGCCTGGACTGCAGCGCCCTGGACCGCGACCCGGACCTGCTGCCCCCTTCGGGCACGTCACACTTCGAGTTCCCGGACTACTGCACCCCCGAGGTTACCGAGATGATCGCAGGGGACTGGCGCCCGTCTAGTATCGCCGACCTGGTTTTCACCTACTGAGCCCACCGTCAGCGGGGCGCGCACGCCCCCAAACCAGCTGTTTACATACAGGAATCAGGTATTGGGGCCCCTCGGAGGCCGAGGCTGGCACCCCATCTCCCGCGCAGCCTCCCCCCTCCTAGTCGTGCCCATCCCCCCCACAGATCCAGACATACCCCTCCCCTGCAGACACACCCCAAGGCAGCCCAACCCCCACCTTCTCCCTGACATCTAAGCCCCTCCCCAGCCAGTCTTGTCCCGCGTAGCCACCAGCAGCCAGCCCCCCTCGGATACACCTCCCGTTCCTCCTACATACCTGAACCCCTCCCCCCACTTTGCACACGCCCCTCCTCGTGGCCGGGCGGCACGCCCCTTCGCTCCAGAATCCCTCCGCCCTCGCCCGGGCCTGCCTTGGTGGTTAAGGGGGCGCTGCGGTCTGTCGGTCCGGCGCTCCTCCCAGTCCCCTCCTCTCCTGGAGGGGGGGGGGAAGGGCGTCCTCCCTTCCCCCCAGGATCTCAAGGCCCCACCCCTCAGCTTGAACCGTCCCCTTCTTGCGCATGCTTAATGCTTCTTGGAGGGGGCTGGTCCCAGTTGAGCTGCAGGCCTCTGTCGCCAACTTCGAAAAGGAGGGGGCTAATATAGAGCGATCCTAAGAAATCCTTTGATCCCGGAGCCCGTGGCTTCCTCTCGACCCAGCGGGGCGTTACTGCCTTAATGGGAGGCGCACGCAAAGGGAGAGATAGAAACTAGCTAGCCCTAAACTCTGCAAGTGTCAACCCCTTTTCTATGATGGGGTCACCCACGCCCACCACCACCCTCCACCGCGTGACTGCCTTTACAGCCCATCTTGGTCGCCGGAAACTTCCTTTCCCCAAGTGGGAATATGGGATTTGGTCTTTGTCTGGAAATCCACCAAGATGGGATTGTCCAAGAGAACTCAGAACCAAGACACCTACCAGTCTGGGGACAGAGTTCCTGCTGCCCCCTCAATCCCCCTCCTCGGGAAGCGCCCTATCAGCTCAGGACATCCTCTCTGCCTGGGTTCCTCCCTAAGTCCATTGCCCCCTTTCCTATCACTCAGATCCAGTCTCAACAACCACAGCTGCAGTATTCATTGGGAGAAACTGAAGCACGTCGTTGCTAGGGTTTAGGATGGGCATCCCAGCAGACGGGTGGCAGAAATGAGGCCCACGTCTAAACAGTGGCTTGAGGAGAGACCGGGCCAGGGCATCTGGGGACAGGGCTGAGCTAGTGGACGTGGGTGCTTTGCACCTCGGTCTTCCATTGTGAGAAATAGGGGTGGCACTGCTGTAGTTAGGAAGCTGTGTTGAGATTAGGTTGCCCTCGGGAACCCTGCCCGGGTGCCAAGTCTGCTCCACTGGTCTCCCGCTCGAGCCCCGCCCCTCCGGCCTCCCCATCCCCCTCTGCCTTCACTACCTGTATCTCACCGGCGTGTGTTCACCTTCTGGGTGGCTCACACACACTCATTCACACACACACAAATCTCAGGAACAAACGGTCCCAGAGTCCTCCTCGGCCCCTGCCCTGGGTCTCTGCAGGTCTCTGCCCCACGCGTTCCCTTCGCTGACAAAGCCACCAGCTGCCTCCTTAAAGCTTGGTGCTCCGGCTCTGGGCCTTTCTTGCGCTCTTTCTCTCTCTCTTTCTGTTTTCTCTTTTCGTTTTTGTTTTTGTTTCTTCTTTTTTTTTTTCTTTTTTTAAGAAAACAAGTAACAAAAAAGACAATGAAAAAAAAAACCGGAAAACGTCATGTGAGTGAAGAGATGTCACTGTCTGTGGTCTTTGGAGAACTAGTCTCGTAGCTGAGAGGAGGGGATCCCTCCTCTGGGGCGCTGGCACCCACAGCAGGACTCGCCAGTCTGATGCCAGGACTGAATAAAGTGTATTTGCCCCGACCTCACCCTGTGGTTCTGCATGTGTGTGCTTCTCACCCCCTGGTCAGCTTCAAGTGCCTAGAGTGGGCTGGTGCAGGGAAAGCTGGATGTCTCTCTAGGCCCCTGTTACCCTCTATCTCAGGAATCCTTCGCCTTCATTAAAGATGGCAAACCCGTCTTTACAGTGGTCAGGCAGGCATAAGTGGGAGAGCCAAATTGGGGTGGGGACTGGTGTCACCACAAAGCAAGCATGGCAGCCCACTGTAGCCAGAGAGCCACGTGTTTCATTGGAGTTGCAAAATAAAAGCCCATGCAGATGTTTTTGAAGTCTCTTTAGATCAGATGAGACAGGTGTGCAGGCTGGACCGACCCCCCCCCCCCAAGGGTCAATTTGATTATTTAATGAGGATTAAGAAGCAAGATTGGGCGGCTCTGCTCAGGGCCCAGCTCCTAGAGCTGCTCTATCCATGTGTGTCTTGGGAGAATCACATTAGTATTTTCAGAGTAAAATCATGCTTGAGGTGAGCAGCATTTAATGTGGAGTGCTCCATAAATGGTATGCTTCATTTATAGAGTAGGAAGCTGGAGGGTCCCACAAGCAGCCATGACTAGAGGTATACTGAGGTATCTATCCCTCAGGTGTCTTCCCAATGCTGCCTCACAAGAGCATCAGCCAAGGGCCTGGCACACACAGGCCTGCGGTGTATGCTTACCACTGACCAGAGGGCCACAGGCCATGAGTCTTCTCATGAGATTCCAGGTCTGCTCCTCCTTGGCCTTCTGTACCTTTGCCCTTGATGCTCCTTGATCTGCCGGGTCCAGGGAATGCCTAAGCCCAGACAAAGCCCGTTTTCCTATAAGCCAAGACTGGGTGTGGGTCTTCAAAGGGCAGCTTTTCTGCTTCTGGTTGGAAACAAACAGGACATTTATGTGAAGAGGTAGCTTTGAGAAGATAGGGAGGGCAGGGTATGTGCCAATCAAGTTGGTTCGAGGAAGGGCTTCCTAGGCCTTGGGAAACAGGGTGAGTAAATGCCCTCCAGCAAGGTCAGTCCCTGGGAGATAGCAGCTTGCCCAAGGCCACACCCCTCCCCCTGGTAGGCCTGCCCAGTGTCTAGGCTAGGTTGTTGTAGTGTGTGGGGGAGACGTGGGCGTTTCTCCTCGCAGGCCCCCCACTGTGGTCCCTGCTCCCGAACAGACAGGGCTTTGTCAGGCTGCAGTTTGAGCTCTTCATGCCCAATCCTGCTTCTTTCCACAGGTGTTCATCCTAATAAACATCTTACACCCCAAACTCAGTCTTGGTGTCTGCTTCTGAAAGAGCGTCCTACTGTGGAAGAACTAAAAATTGACAAAGGGAATGTAGTCACTGACTTAATAGTGGCAGTTAGGGCACCTCAGATACCCCTTCCACTGCCTCCCCAAGGTGGCTTTCTTCACCAGACCCTCCACACCGACCCTGAGGCTGTCCCCTTCCAAACCCTCACCAGGCTGCTGCAGCTAATCATCAGTCGTGCCTGGGTCGAGGCACAGAAGAGGTGAGCTTGGTGAGTGCCCTTAACATGGTCTGGAAAGCTGCCGGTGCCGGGAGACTTGCCAGTCCTCTCCACTCTGCAGTTTACTGTCACACTGGAGGTGGTGGGACTGGAAGAGAGGCCTCTTCCATTTCAGATGCTGATCTGGAGAGGGGAACACTCATACTCACAGGGACTCTGGGGACATCTAGTGAGTGAGGAGTAGAAAGCAGGTTAGGTAGGTGGAGGTCAGGTGAGACTAAGGAATTTGCCTCTAAGGAGTGTCCATGGCATTTCTGGGGTCATGTCTCACAGGGATGGTTTGAGCCACCCCCACCCTTTTGCCTTTTTATTAAATTTTTTGTTTGTTTTGAGTCACGGTGTCTGTATAGCACTGGTTGGCTTGAAGCTCACTGCACCGATCAGGCTGGCCTTGAACTCCAGAGATCTGCCTGCTCTCGTTTCCAGAGTGCTCAGATTAAAGGCATGTGTCACCACCCTCTCTCCCCTTTTGCTTTTTGGGGTCTGTCTCTAGCCCAGGCTGGCCTCCTGAATGCTAGGACTATAGACATGGACCACCATGCTGGGTTTATGTGGTGTTGAAGCTTGAACCCAAGTCTTGATTCATGATAGGCATGCACTCTAGCAACTGAACTCTACCCCTGGCTGAGTGTGCATTAGCCAGGCAAGTCTTAGTCCCTGGGTGTCCAAAAATGAAAATGACAAACATTCATGGTCTTCCCTGAGTGCATGGATCTGAAGGGAAAGACAAACCCGGGCTTGAAAATATTCTGATGACAGTGAATCAGAATGTGCATTCAGGATAGGCACAGGCCACTTAACCTTGTGACCCGAAATTGCAGTAGATGGTGGCTTTAGAGAATGGCTACATATTCTGGCACTCTCCCTTGTGAACTACCCCCTCAATCCAGGCTGGCCTTGGCAGATCCCTTTGAACAGGATGTAGCAGGAAGGATACTGCAGCGTTTCCAGGGTAAGGTCACTTGAGTTCTGTGTCAAGATGCCAATACTGAGGCCGTCATCACATGACGCACAGAAGAAACCTTGTATAGGTGCTTTAGTTGATGACTGAAGCCTGATCCTGGATGTATAATTGCAGAAACTTGGGAACAGTTCCAGCCTAGAGTGATTTGTGTCCCTGAAGGCTATTGGAGGAGCTGGAATCTCAGCCATCATGAGACTGGGGCGAGCCACCCTGCGATGTCCTGAGTTCAGCATCATGAAATAACTACTCACACTAAGTGGAAGTGGTAACTGGAGTAGTAAGGAGGCAGTCAGGCACAGAATAAGCAATATTGATAGAACAAAGGGGAGGGCCCGCAGGAGTGGCTGACCCAGAGCTTGGCTGTAGGATGTAGTGTGGACAGTTGAGGTGGACTGGCAGGCAGGAAGGGTCTCGAGTTTTTTGGATTGTATTTTTTGGAAAATGCAAACAGTGCTCAGTGATGAAAACCTTCCCAGGGTCTCGCACTGATCTCAGGGCTCAGTCCCCAAGTTCTTGGCTTTAGTTCAAGGCCTTTTTGCGGTTGGCTCCTTCACTCTTGTGGATGTGTGCCTTCAGTCACGAGCTCTACTTCCAGACTGCCTCGGCCACACTCCCTGATTACAATGCACGGCCATGGTATTGGCCACCGCTCTTGTTGAAGGCGTTGGGAGACTCGAGTTTCCCCAGCTGTGCCTTGGGTGGTTGGACTAGAATCCTCCCAAGAGTATACCCAACCCGGCACTCTGTGAAAGGGAGGGAGGTGTTTGCTGGCAAAACTGCCTATCTAGCTTCTGTGTTGCCTAGCTGTGAATGCCAACCCTCTCCCCAATCCTTAGAGGTTTCTAAGCAACCAACTTCTGGCCCTCAGTTGTTTCTGGCCTCCTTTTAACTAAATGTCAAGTTCTTTTCTTTCTGCTCCAGAAAACCTGAGCCCAAGGGTCTCTGTAGAGACAGGATACAAACTCGGAATGGGAAGAGGCCTGGGATGGAGGTCAGGGCAGCGTTTGCTGTGGGACTTGAAAAAGCCACCTGGCCTCTCCGGCTTTTTGGTCAAATCGCACTTACCTGTCACCTGCTCCTTTGGGCTTTCCCGCTTGTGGGTTTGAATAAACTGACAAACATTCTTATTGCAACAGATTTTAGTTTTAATTTGACATTGTTAAGATACATTTTATTTTTATATGTCTGTGGGTGTGGCCGTATGTGCTCGTGTATCTGCATGTGCAGGTTGTTGCCCATGGAGGCCAGAAGAGGGCATCAGATTCCTTGGAGCTGGATAAAGGTGATAGAGAAACCCTTGTGATGGGGTTGCTGGGAACTCGGGTCCTCCGCAAGAAGAGTAGTGGCTCTTAACCACTGAGCCGTCTCTCCAGCCCCCTCCCAACCCTCCCCCCTGCTGCAGCAAACTTGGATGACGCCCACTATGCGCCAGGCACTGTCTTAAAGATGGAAGATGCATCAGTGAAGAGTGGGTGGAGGCACACGATGAACGGACAAAGGTGACTGTCGTGTGGTAGAGGGGCTACCATTTTAGATGAGATAATTATGTCCATCAAGGTAAGTGAAGAAAGCCAAACTAGGTAGAGCCCCAGGTCCCCAGCTGTTCTGTCTCATTCCGCCACCTGACGCCTCAGGCTGAGATGAGCCGAGCCGCTGAGGAACACCAACAGGTCTGCAGGGCAGGAAACAACTGAGACATCACCGGAAGGCGGTGACCCGGGAGCAATCGTGGGGGACAAGACTTTCCCATGTACTTCCTGTCTACAGGTAATTGGGAACCCTGCGGTCGTTTTTTTAAGCACCAATAACTTACAGACTTGGTAACAGCATGTAACAAAAATTACCATCATAACCATCCTTGAATACAACTTAGTGGCATTAAAAGCAGCCTTTCTGTTGCCCAGCTCCCTAAACCATTCACCTTGAGTGTTGACTCCTTGAGCTGGCCACACCATAAAGCTCACTTCTTTCTGTCCTCCTGCCTCAGCTTCTTCATGAATACTGGGATTACATGCACACACCACTACAGCCAGCCTCCAACAGCCATGCCATTTTCCTTTTGTATGTGTGCAATTTATTGTGTGTGCATTTATTTTTGTGTTTGTTTGTATGATATGTGTGTGTTCTTAGGCCATAGTGTGCATGTGGAGATCAGGACAGCCTGAAGAGTCTGCTCTGTCTTGCCATCTTTACCTGAATTCTAAGGATCTGAGTCAGGTCACTAGGCTTTCATAGCAAGTGACTTTATTTGCTGAGCCACCTCTCTGGCTCATATGCTGTCTTATAAAAGAGAGAGAGAGAGAGAGAGAGAGAGAGAGAGAGAGAGAGAGAGAGAGAGAGAGAAAGGAAAGAAGGAAGGAAGGAAGGAGAGGGGGAAGGAAGGAAGGAGAGGAAGGAAAGGAGAGAGAGAGAGACAGAGAAGAAAAAGAACAGAAATCCAGAACTGACTCCTGAAAGTTATCCTCTGACCTCCATGCATACCATGGCACATGAGACACAAAATAAAAACATT